GGGGGGGCTGGGGAGGGAGGGGGAAGGCATTGACGGTGAGTAATATGCATTTTTTGTACATTTTCTCCCGGAATTACATGGCTCATTTTTAAACAATAGATACCTTTTGTGATAGCTTATCTTGCTATCTTTGTCAATGTTTAAAAACCATAAAATCTAATGGTGAAGGACCAATTAAAAGAATTGTCAATGTTTTGATTTTACGGGTACTGATTTAGCACGGAACTGTAAAGGGGAAGTATTTGTTTAACGCTCCTTTCAACACTAGAAAGACATACGTATTAAAGGCGGTACTTCCAAATCTAAAGTCTATCTCTGATAGGACCAAACCAAGGTGGAGAGCTATGTTGGAGATTCGAATCAAAGCCATATACGCCATATCCTGGCATTGTGATCACTGAGCTAACTGTGCCGTACACAGAACACGTTCTCGCTGATAAGATATCATGGTCTGTACCACAAGCCTACGCGCTAAAAGCAAATGAAGTCAAAAGACAGCAACGAGAAACCCTTGATCACTACTGGCGGTAGAAAGATTTTATTTTAAAACCAGCCTTTTTTCTTTTCTTCTTTTTGATAAGTGTTTTACAGCACTCGCAACTGCATAAGGACATATGAGCGAGCGGGACACAGTAAACATTTTCAGTTGGTAGGAAATTTTGAATCCGAGAAGGCTAGGTGTAGATCTCACCTACCATAAAATGAGGGGTGTGGCTGAAATTCAGTAGTAAGAAGGAGCCAATGAGTTGCAGAGTAAAAAAGGCAGCAGTAAGAGTCCGGACCCAGAGAAGGGGGCAGAGGAGGTGAGGGGGTGGGGGTAGAAAGTGGAAACGAAAGACGACAGAACATTGTTAAAGAGCAGGGAAGGATGCGAAAGGAGAAAATTTTAGAGCAGAAAATGTTCCGTCTTTATGTGGATTCGAATCCGGGACCTATTGAATGAAAGGCGAATACCTTAACCTCTAGACCACAAGAACCCCCTAAAATCAGTCGAAGGGTATTTAGTTTTAGTAAACTTTTAACTGCACTTGCATTTTAATAAGGTCCCATAAGTGCCCGAAGATTAGAGCTGTTACGAGTAAGTAACAAACACAAAAATAAGGGAGACGAAGAAACACAATAGACATTTGATACCAAAAAAGACGCAAACCACATTATGGCACCCCCCATCTACCCACTAATCGACGAATTTCGTTGTTACCAATGTAAATAATATTTTCTTTGTAGCATTTCAGCTTCGTTTTACACTCTTGAATTTCAAGTCACTAGCCGAGGAATCAAAACAATGTGAATTTCAGTGAGTCACATTTCGTCGCCATTGTGATTAGATCAGGTACCTACAAAATTTTCGATTTTGCCTTTTTTTCTATAAAATGTATTCTACAAAGCATGTTTCATATGCTGGTTAAAATGTATAGTCAAATAAACAACCAAAAGTTGACTTTTTAACAGTTTGAAACTCGGATAACTTCAAGCCGTTTTTTTGATAAATCAGTTTTGTAATTCTCCGGAAAAATGACCCGATGTCACTTATCCGATCTTATCAATACGGCGAGGATTTATAATTTCTGGAATAAATTTGAGTCTTTTCTTTCTTAAATGATTTTAATTGTGTTGATGAAGGGGAGTGAAACATTAGCAACCAATCAGTCGTCTCACCATGTCACATTAGAGATAGGATAGCTACCCTCGTGAAAAGCACACTTTGGACTTGTCCACTTTTCAGATAAAAACGTAATAATAACTGTAGTGACACCGAAATATCAAGGTGGTCAACTTTTTTAGTTGCCATTTTGCCCGCTATATTTGTCTGTAGAGCCTTTTGGGGACATTTTGTTCGCAGAAATCACCCGTTGCTGGCTGCCAGAAATGTCGACAATTCAAAAGACTGCGGAGATCAAAGGACAAAAATGACACAGAATAAAAATAGGTTGAGATCGCGTGAATGTCATGAGGCTCAGACAAGTGGGCGTCGCATTTCCTTGAAGTAAGATAGAGCATTACATTTCGTTTTGAGAAGGAGGAGTGGGTGAGATGTCTTCTATTCTTTTCTCATCTTTGAGTGTGCTCGCTCTTTTAAAATAATCCTTGACACTACCCACTCAATATCACTGTCTCCGTAACCAGCCACTAATAGAAAAACTCCCTGCCCTGTGGTTTTCCCCGAGTTTTGTTCTACTTAATAACTACACTGCTGTTTTTGAGTTTTTGTATTGGGTTTGCTAATACCACCAATGCTGTCTTTGCTCAAAGCTCTTTTGGTAAGCCCTATAAATATGACTTAAATTCCACATTTACTGCTTGTCCATTTTTTTCTGTCTTGTCCTAAGTTTTACCAACCGATATTTCTACCCGTCGAGACTGTACAAGATTGATAGATGAATTTCGACGTTCAATGAGACGTTGCGTATGTTGTATGGTAGGAGAAGAACTCGGCCTTCTGTCAGTTGTCTGGGCACACACACACACACACACACACACACACACACACACACACACACGCACACACACACACACACGCACACACACACACACACACACACCCACGTGTGCATCTGTGTGTATGCGTGTGCCTGCATGTGTCTCTCCGTGTCTGTGCGTATACCTACTCCAAGAAAACAAACACACTGCCATCACCCGTAACTCACCACCCACCCCCACCAAACACACACACACACACACACACACACTCACCCATCCCACCCCCTCCTCACCCCCACCTATACAATAAAAACAGCAAGTCCTTCGCCCTCACGACATCACGATAGAATCATTTGCAGCTTGTCATAACCGCTCTCCACTGTATGCCAGGCCTACCATCGATCCCCTTGTGACCGCTCTCAGCTCTAAGCAGGCATGTCTCCCCGAGAATCTCTTATTGTCACCATGGTCGTGCAGACTCGCACCCTCGGACACATCACGGGGCTATCTTCGCCTCCTCATTAGTCACGCATGTAACGGTAGCCTTTGTACGTCACGTCGTAGCATCCCATTTTCGTTCCCTCTTATTCATGTATGCCCCTTCGTAACATTCGTGTGTAGTATGATATGATTTTAAGGCCTCTTTAAAAGCAGTTTAGGCAATACAGCGTCATAGAGGCATAACACTGGCACGCATTAGTTGAACTACAAAACCTAACGTGACTAGATCTACCTAACACCAGTTTGTATAAATGTTGTAATCTCTTTTGGGGAATTGTGTTTTGATTTGAAGTGACTCCTTTTTGACTCACTAAAGTATTACAGTGAAGGGTATTTTGTTTTAAAGCCCAACCCCTAATATACCTTGGTAAGTGACAAAAAATATGTGTGAAATTCCTCAAACAGGTAAGTTCAGAAATGCCTTGTTAAAGAATAAGATTAAATGGCCTCGCAGCCTAGCATCAAATGCGGGAATTTTGTTGAAATATCCATCTCCGACTGGACTTGGTTAAGTAGCGAAAAAGATAATTACAATAAAACTCCTCAAAAACGTAAGTTCAGGAATGTTTTGTTGACGAACGAGGGTCAGTCACAACGCAGTCTAGGAGAGCATCAAGCGAGCTAACCATGAGGCTAATAATAGTTTCTTGCATTCTTAAATGATAATTTTTAAATGTAAAAAAAGATTTTAACATTTTTTAAATGATAATAATAATGATAACAATATCAATTTCATTTACATAGCGCACATCCATGCTCTACAGCATGCCTTATAACTATTATTACCCCAGCAGACCCTAAAACACTCAGAAAGATTATCGGCTTCCCGGGATACATTCAATGCAAGCTGCGGATTACACGCGTTAAAAACTGACAAGATCTGTCACTGCATATTGCTGAGAACCCATTCTCACCTCAATGATGTCAGAAAAGCTCGTCTAAAATATCTTTTCGAAGGACACAGGGTCAGGTTCTTGATGTTATTCGAACCCACCACTTGTTTACGCAGCTTTTTGTTGTGTACTTATCGTTTAGTTTATTAATGCTGCGTCTTTGTCGATATTATATGGTAGCTTCTAGGTTATTTTGTAAGACCCACAGGCGATTATCAGCAAAACTCTAAAAATGAATAACAGAATAAAATCCAGAGAAAAGAGAACTCTGATCCCGATCCGACTCAAAACTCGAATTCTTGCGCCGCTGCTCAGTGCTCAGGTCCAAACCAACTGTGCACCTTCAGGACGATCTACCTAAATGCAATTCTTGTTGTTCCTTTGAGCCATTTCGTCTGATAATATGCAGGTCAATATACGCTTTGCTCACTGTATATGTAATACATTATTTTTATAGATT